GTTTCCTTGTAATATTATTTTCTTCTGGAAATTTTATAGATTTAGATTTTACATAACATTTTGAGTTACTTTTTGTATAAGATGTTAAGTTTATATTCACTTTAAAAGACATATCAAAATCCAACTGTTCCAACATTGTTTGTTAAAAAGTCTATCCTTTCCCCATTGGTTGCTTTTGCATCTTTGTAAAAAGTGTCAGCTGGTTACATTTGTTGCACTGATCTATGTGTCTGTTTCTTCACCAATACCACACTGACCTGGAATTTACAAAAAGGGTACAAATAACATTTTTGCGGGTCAGGAATAGAGATGCAGACGCAGAGGACAGATGTGTGGACGTGGGGGGAGTGGAGTGTGGGATCCGGGTGTAAAACAGACTAGCGGGGCGCTGCAGGGCAGCTCCAGGAGCTCAGCTCGGTGCTCAGCGACGCCCCAGGAGGATGGGAGGCTGGGCGTGGGGTGGGGGGCGGCCCGAGAGGGCGGGCATACGTGTGCATGTGGCTGACTCACTCTGCTGTACAGCAGAGACGAACACAGCATGCAAAGTAACTAAACTCCAATTAAAACAATACCACACTGTCCCAGTCCCGGTAGACTCATAGGTCAAAATGGGTATTGTGACTTTTCTAGCTTTTATTTTTCTGTGCCAAATTTGTTCTAGCTATTCTAGTACCTTTACTTTTCACATAAATTTTAGAATCAGGTGGTTGATATCTACAGGAATTTTGATTGAGATCATGTTGAATTTAAAAGTCAATTTGGGGAGCGATGACATCTTAATAAATATTGACTCTTCTAATTGTGAATATAACTCTTCACTTAGGTCTTTGATGTATCTCATCAGTGTTTTATAGCTTTCGGCATATTGATTTTGCATATATTTTGTTAGGATTTATACATATGTAGTTCACATTTTTGCTGCTCTTATAAATGTGTGCTTACTGGCTCAGTTGTGTCCAACTCTCTGTGACCACATGAACTGTAGCCCGCCAGGCTCCTCTGTCCATGGGATTCTCCAGGCAAGAACACTGGAGAGTGTAGCCATTTCCTTCTTCAGGGGATCTTCCCAAACCAGGAATCTGCATTGCAGGCAGATTCTTTACCATCTGAGCCACCACGGAAGCCGCCAGTATAAATGGTGCTATTTTTTAAATTCAAAGTTTCAACAGTTTATTGCTAGCATATAAAAATAAAATTTGTGTTTGTAATTCTGTAGCTTGTAATAACATATAATGGAAAAGAATCTGAAAAAGAATATACATATATGTGTGTATTCATATATATGCATATATAACAGTCACATTGATGTACACCTTAAACATAGTCAACTGTACGTTAATAAAACATAAATAAATGAGAGCACATTAACGTTGCACTCTGCAGCCTCGGTTAACTCATGTATTAATTATAGTGGATTTTGGGGATATTCCTTCAGAACTTACTGCCTTTTGCGCCATTCTTCTGTTCTGATCTATGCACCTTCTCTTTCGTTTTGCCTTACTGCCCTGGTCAGAGCTCCACTACCTTGTTGAATAGGAGTGATGAGAGAGGGCATCCTTGTCTTGTGCCCAGTCTTAAGCGTTAAGTCTTCATCTTTTGCTGTTAAGTATGATGCTAGCTTGGGCTTCCCAGGTGGTACTAGTGGTAAAGAACCCGCTTGCCAGTGCAGGAGACATAAGAAACGGGTTCGATCCTTGGATCGGGAAGATCCCCTGGAGGAAGGCAAGGCAACCCACTCCAGTCCTGCCTGGAAAATTGCACGGACAGAGGAGCCTGGCGGGCTGCAGCCCATGGGGTCACAGAGAGTTGGACACGACTGAGTGAGCGCACACACGCGCACACACACACACACACACACGATGCGAGCTACAGACACTTTACCACGTTAAGGAAGTTATCCTCTACTTCAAGTTTTGATTAGCAACGGATATTGGATTTTCATCAAATGCTTTTTCTGCCCCTATAGAGATGATAATGTGATTTCTCCTTCGTTAGCTTAATACAGTGAATTAGAATGATCAGCTCTTGAACCATGCTTGTATTCCCAGGATAAACCCACCTAGGTCATGGGGCATCGGCCTTTCTGCGTACCCCTACATTCAACTTGGTGAGATGCAGTGTGCGTTGCGTGCTACATGGCTTAGGTTGTGTCTGCCTCTCTGTGACCCCATGGGCTGTAGCCCACCGGGCTCCTCTGTCCATGGGGTTCTCCAGGCAGGAATACTGGAGTGAGTTGCCATGCCCTTTGTGAGATGTTATCGAGGGGATTTGTTTCTGTGTTGAAGAAGGACATTGGTCTATGGTTTCATGGAGTGTCTTCGTCCGGTTTGATTATGAGGTAACGCTGACCGCGTGAAAGGACTTGAAGTTGCCTGGGCTGAGGGTGGAAGTACGCAGGGCTGGCGTACCCGAGGGCACCTGGAGCTGCTGAGACGGTGCAGCCCGTGCCGAGGGAAGCAGGTGGATGCTCCCGCAATAAACATCATCCGGCCCCTCCCACCCCTCAGGGCCCGCTCTCCCCTCTCTGCCTGGCACTGGGAGGCGCGTGCTACCTCCAGACATGCTGGGCAGCTGGCCCTGCGGCTAGTTAAGGCCCCAGCAGACAGACCAACGCACAAATAAAGCCGAGCGGGGGCCCGCGGGTCTGGTGTTGCATAAAGAGCCATTTTATTTCTTAACTGGACAGAGCTTAAGCGCACACACATGGGACAGGAGCCAAGAGCCTAACACTCGGGTTCAGGACACCAGGGAACTAGCCGTTACATCGGGATGGCGGTCACGGTCAGGGGCCACACAAGCACATATGTACAAGCTACGGGGGACTCGGGGGCCAGCTGGCCACAGGAGGCCAGGGTCTGGGGAGAAGCCGCAGCCTCGCGTCTGTCCCAGGGGATGGAGGAGGGGGCCTCTGGGGTTCCCGCTGGGGAGAGCTGACAGGGACCGGCGTGGCAGCCCCAGGCAGGCCGTGACATCGGCGACGTTCAGGGACCCTCCTTGGCTGTCTTGCCTCATCCACCCAGGGGCACTGAGGGGGTCCAGGACTGACGGGAGATCACCGCACTCAGCCTGCTACGTGTGTGTGCGTGTGCGTGTGAGTGCGTGCGCGCACTGTCAGAGAACAAAACGCTGGCATTTTAAGAACAGTCACTCCGAGCACAGAGGCCTTGAAACTGACAAGTCTCTCAACACCCGCCCCTGGCCCCCAGCCCGGTAACCAGGGCCCGGACTCTCCCACCCGGGGCTCTGCCCAGGGCCGCCGCAGAAGGCATGCCCCCCTGCCTGGATGGGACGCGGGGACGCCCCCAAACTCACAGCAGCTGCAGCCGGAGCAGCCTCAAGCACCGAAACAAAGCCCATTCGAGAGAAGTGGCTCCCTGCATCCTTCCCGCCCCTCAGGGACGCAGCACGACCCCTCACCCGACCTTCCCGTCTGCGCTCACCCCCGGGGCCTCCAGACCGGCCCCCCGTGTCACCGGCGGGACGGGGTCCCAGACCCCCTGTGCTGGCTCCCATGGCACCCGGCCCGGGACAGCGGCTTTCCCGACGTGCAGACAGAGCTCTCGGGCCCAGGCCGAGAGGAGGAGGCGGAGATGGGCAGGGACACCCTGGGTGCCATGCCCCCGCTGGGATGGCAGGACGCAGCGGCCGTGGGGCCCCCGTGGCCGTGGGGGCCCCGGACGTGGGCGAGTCCCTCAGCCCGCCCCGCGCAGCAGGGGCTCTGCAGGCTGGCTGGCCCCAGGCACCCTGCCCCCAGACAGGGCCTCGGACCCTGGCGAGGCCGCGGCCTCAGGCTGGCTGACCTGAGGGGCCGTGGCCGGGCCCTGTGCCCCAGTCTCCCCGCAGGACAGCGGGGCACTCAGGACTGACCCCCAGAGCTCACCCGTGCGTCCTCCCCCTGCCCGCGAGGCCGGCTCAGTGTTGGCTCCGGAGCGGCCGTCAGCCTGCTCTCTGCTCTCTGCTCTCTGCCTCCAGGGACCCCGGGGCGCTCGGGCCTCTGGTTTCTGGACGGCGTTCGGTCCTTGTCTAGACCCTCCACCTCTGCACCTGCTCCAGGCGCCGCGGAGCGGACGGGGCTTGTGCTGTGGCTGCTCTCCCCTGAGCTGAAGAGGGCTGGCCATGTCTCTGGGAGGAGGAACAGCTCCCCGAAGACCCTGGGCCAGTGGGTTCCCCGACCAGACCCTCAGCCCGGGCGACCCTTGGGCACAGAGTCTGAAGAGGGGACGAGACGGGTATCGCCATGAGAGGCTGGACCAGACACGGCGACACCCTCGGGCACAAGAAAAGGCTCCTGGAAGACGGACGACCCAGCGCTGGCACTGGCCACCCGCACCGGCCGCCAGAGTCTCCCCGGGACCCCCGAACACTCCTCTCCTGGCAAGAGAGGGGCCCACGGCTTCCTCTCTGCGGCGACCTGGGGCTCACGCTGCCCACAGCCTCTCGTAGACCCAGCCCCGCCCCCGGTCGGCCCGGACACCGGGGACCACCCTGACCCTCTCACCCCAGACCAGGCGCCTGGGCCCCCCCACCCGCTCCCAGGGACGTGCTGCAAGCGTACCCCGATGGTCACGACTCAGGGGCTGCCGTCCAGGTGAGACACGCGTCCTACTCCTGCTGGAAGGACACACCTGTGCTGCTCGGCCTTCAGGCAGCACACCCCCGACACACACGCACGCACACACACACACAGGTCCAGGGACCAGGCCAGCCCCGCGTGCGCGGGGACAGGCCTCAGCTGCGGCTGGGGCAGTGCATCCCCGGGGCCGTCCATCCAGCTCCACGTCCCCGTGGCTCCCGGGGAGCCGCCCCGACACGTCTGTCCCCAAGAGGCTTGGGAGGTGTGTGTGGGAACAAGGGGGCAGGTCCATCTGAATCCTACAGGTCTACATGAAGGCATTAGAAATAAATACTTATAAATAGAACACAGTCTTATCGTTAATGTCTGAGGGAACTGTCTCAACGTCACTAACTAGTGTATATTAATTATAAGTCTGTCTATGCTTAAAAAAATATTAGAACGGCGGCGATGCCCCAGGACTCCTGCCCCCCGCCTTTCTGGCGCCTCCCAGCTCCTCCCACCCGGGGCGCCTCCTGCAGAAAGAAAGGACAACACGTGCGGCCTCTGCTGGGACAGGTCGTGTGGCAGGTCCTGGCGGGGCGGGCATCCCAGGAGGCGGGCGGGGCTGGGCGGCGCTGACACAGACGGTGACGATGACGGGATGCGGGGCCGGGCCTGCGGGAGGCTGGGCTCAGACCCGCATCTGGGCAGACCTCCTCCTGGACAGCTTGGACCTGCGGGGCCGACAGGAGCGGCGGTCAGAGGGCCGTGCGCGCCTGCAGGCTGGCATGAGGGGCATCACGGGCACGTCCCTGCCTCCCTGACTGCCCGGGAGACATACCCTCTGCCTCCTGCCTCTGGGACTCGGTGGGAGCAGCCCCCTGCCCCCACAGCCTCCTTTAAAAGGTCCCCCGCCAGGGGCGAGGCTCGTCCACCCAGGGCCTGGTGGTCCTGACATAGAGGCGCCCTCCCGCCGGCCGACCGTGGACTCTGGAGGCCTCAGGGACCCACACGCAGGGCGGGCCCCAGGCACCCGTCGCGGCCCTCCACAGGCGGACGTACCGTATCGTCCCGGCCAGCAGGGGGTTGAAGGCGTACAGCCAGTCGTGCATGTCCTTGTCGCTGCTGGCCTGCAGCAAGATGCCCCGGTGCTCCGTGCACACCGCGAACGTGTTGGGGGTCTGCAGAGGGGGCCGCCGTGAGGGGCGCCAAGCCACCCGCGCTCAGCCCGGGGCGGCCACCGCTCCTCGGGGGTTGGGGTGGGGGTGTCGGAGAAGGGGCAGAGGAGGAGATCCGCGGGAGGGTCAGGGGCAAAGCTGGGGGCAGGAGGCTGCACTTCTGGGCCCAGCGCCCCGCTGGCCTGCAGGGCTCCTGACACCCTCTGTGGGTATCGCTGGAGGAGGGACTGTGTCATGAGCCATCAAACGGGGTATCCTTGGGATCCATGCTCGCCCCACCCCTCACTGCTGGTCATCGCCAGGACGGCGAGCCCCACAGGTGGGCAGAGTGGTCCCAGAACACGAGAGGCTGAGCCCCGCACCCCCGCCCGGGACGTCCAGTCACACTGCTTCGGCAGTGCAGTGAGGGGACGCGGCCTGCGGGGACTGGGCCCGGCTCCCACCCTCCCTGCCAGCCCGTGGCACGGCGCACCTTCAGCATGGCCTGCTGGTCCTCACTGTACTCCACCTGGGCAGTGGACAGGTTGAGCACGAACCGCTCCACGGCGTCCTTGTCACTGTTGTACATGTAGGCGTAGGGCCGCCGCACCACCACGAAGCGCTTGGCCCAGCCGGCCGTGTGCGGCTCCAGGAAGTGCAGGTAGCCCTTCTTGGAGACGATGGGGCTGCAGGGTGGCAACGCATCAAAACTACCTCTCCACGGCCTCTACCTGGCCCCCCGCAGCCTCCCTCCAGGCTTCCCCCCTTCCCCCTACAGCCTTCCACCGGGCCCCGCCCCAGTCCAGTCTCTGGGCCACTCTCCTGTCCTCCACCTCAGCTCGTTTTCCACCCCTGCCCTACGTCTGGCGGGGGGGCTTGGTCTTCTGACTACAGCACAGAGTTGCCCCTGCCCCACATCAAGGGGTGGTCTGTTGGCCCCCAGCACTGTCCCAGGTCAGGGGGGCAGTGTCCTGACCCCCAGAACTGCCCCTGGTCGGGGGCAGTCTCCCAACCCCCAGCACTGCCCCAGGTCTGGGGGCAGTGGTCTCCTGACCTCCTGCACTGACCCAGGACCCCCAGAACTGCCCCTGGTCAGGGGGCAGTCTCCCAACCCCCAGCACTGCCCCAGGTCTGGGGGCAGTGGTCTCCTGACCTCCTGCACTGACCCAGGTCAGGGGGTGGTCTCCTGGCCCCCAGCACTGCCCAGGTTGGGGCGGCTGCCGTCCCTGCAGAAGCAGAGCTGGGGTCCTCAGGAGCCGGCTGGGCAGGGCCCCCACACACCTGACGCGGATTTCCTGGATGTCGGGCACTAGCAGGCGCTGGGGCTCCTTGTCGGCTTCCGCTGCCCGTGCAGGGGAGGGGGGCTTCTTGGCATCCGCCTCGGGCAGGGGCTCAGGCTCCGGGCTGGACGGCCGGGAGCAGGGCTGTAGGGTCCTGGGGGAGCAGAGTGAAGCTGCTGCAGTGCCAGGACGCCCCTGGAGGGCCCAGGAATCTCAGTGGGCTCCTCGGGCCAGCATCACCCCCGGGGCCGCTGGGGCACCCAACTGGGTCCGCCCGCCACCGGCTCCTTCTCCAGGGGCGCCCTGGCCCCCCACCCCCACCCCTGAAAAGCAGCTCTTGGTCTTGACCGAGGCTGACTCGGCCTCCTCAGGGACCATCTGCGTGGAGGGAGCGGGTGGGACCATCTGCGTGGAGGGAGCGGGTGGTCCGTGGCCTGGCCCGAGGGGCCGACCCGCTGGCCGAGGCGGCCTGTCTCAGGATGGGGCCCAGAGGGCTTCACGCCTTTCTCAGTCAGAGGAAAGAGACCCCAAGGAGCTACAAGATCCGGGGGTCAGATACGGTGGTGTCAGCAGGGGGCCCCCACATCAGCAGAAGTCAGTGGACCCAAAAGGCCCTGAGTCTCTGCTTTGTCACCGCTTTTCCACTATTCCATTTGCCACTGGAAAGGCCTTTCGTTCAGTGTTTTGACCTGTTCCCAGCCTTATAGAAGAGCACAGTTTAAATTTACGCTTTAGCAGAAAGTGGCCCAGGACAAACAGCATGAGCCCTGCCCCGCTGCATGCCGCCCCCAGGCACCACCCGCCACCCCCCACACCCTGCCATCCACTCCTGCAGGCGCAGGCTGTGCCGGCCCGGCCCGGCACTCAGGTACCTTAGGTCAGAGGCCCCGTACCGGCCCTCGACCAGGGAGGGGCAGGTGGAGGAGGGGGTGAGTGTGGCGGCCCTCAGCGGGGACATGGACGGGTCCCGCAGCAGCGTGACTGACATCTCAGAGAGCTGCGGAGGAGACGGCATTCTCTGGGGCAGTGCGGGGCCCCCGTGAGGGGACACCCCCCCACCCCAACTGCAGGCCAGACCCTCCCTGCCCGCCCCACCCAGGGCTTCGGGCTCTGCCTCGGGGGAATGGAGGACCCCTGGGAAAGGACCAAGGAAGGCATAGCCTCTGAGCCCCGACATCAGCACGTGTGGCCCCATGGCCACAGCAAGAGGACCTCTGGGCAGAGGGAGAGACGAGCCAGAGGGCAGAGGGCAGGTCGCCGCAGGGCTGAGGGCACGGGCAGGATCCCCTCCGGAGGCTGTGTGGAGGGCAGCACAGAGGTGGGGGACAGGCCCGAGGCCACCGGCCCCAGTGGGCCCCGGGTGAGGACGGAAACGAAGGAGGAGCTGGGCTCGCCCAGGACAGGTGCAGCGGGGTGCGGCCAGGTGGGACGGGGCTGCTACTGGGGACAGTGGGCAGAGGAGGGCGCCTCGCTTCTGCCCTGCATGGGCCCTGGCCTCCCTGAGCTCCGAGGCACCCCCCTGGGCTGGGAGAGGGTGCCCCCGCCCCGTGCCCACCTTGCTCTCGCTGGCGCTGACGCAGACGTGGCTGTGGGTGTACTCTCTGTTGAAGGAGTGGGTGAGCAGCCGTAAGCACTGTGGGGAGAGCAAACGCCCGGTCAGGGGCCCCTGGACCCGGCTCGGACGTGGACGTGGGTGGCTGGCTGAGGGGCCGGGCACCGCAGGAGGACTCCCAGGGGATGGGGCCATCTGAGGAATCCTGTGGCAGGCTGGGGCCTGGGCAAAGGAGGGGGTGGGGGCATACGAAGTGCAGGAGGCCTTCCCTGTGGCCCAACCAGTGGCAGAAAGGGCCGGCTCTGCTGGAGGTGGTGAGCTCCCCGTCACTGCAGGTATTCAAGGGGGGCAGGTCACTGCTTGGGGGAGGAGGCTGCAAACAGTGCCCGAGTCCCATTGTGGGTGGGGCAGGGTGGGGACGGGGTCAAGGTGACTCCAGGACCCTCGTCCTCCCAGGTCCCAGCGGTTGCCGGCACCAGGAAGGGCCGGGAGGGTGGCCACCCACCTTGACAGCCAGCTCCCGCTGCCTCTCGCTGGGTGCCTCCAGGGATGCCGGCCGGGCCTCGGCCGTGAGCGGGGAGGAGGCGCTGGACGAGCCGTGGGCCTCGGAGTCCTCGCTGGAGGCGGGGGATGGCGCCTCGGGGCCGGGCCGCTGGGCCGTCTCCAGCTTCTCCCGCAGCAGCAGATAGTGTCTCGTCTTCTCTACCTGTGAGGAGCACGAGCACGGCCTCACTGCGCCCGCAGGGCGGGGAGGGTGCGGCCGCGCTGAGCCCCTGGCCCTCGGCAGGCTCAGGTGGTGGGTGACCTGGAGCCCGCAGACCTGCCCATACCCCAGCATGAGCAGACGGACAAGCTCCAGGGGCGCAGCTTCAGGAAGGACCCAGAGCGTGGACGGATGCGGACCCCGATGCCCTCTTTCCACTCGCTGCCCTGGCCGGTGGTCAGTGCCCGCCACTGGACATGGGCTGTCCTGACTGGAGCTACCAAAGGGCCTCACTGCCGCCCAGTTCTCCTCCCAGTGTCCTTCTCGTCTCCGCTACACGCCCCCCAATCTGAGGCTGGACCAAGGATGAACGTTCCGCCGGAAGCCGGGGGCCATCGTGAGGCCCTGAGCCCCATGATAGGCGGGCGTGCGAACGCAGGCAGGGATGGGGGCCCAGGGGGCGCCGGGGGGGCCCGGCCCTCACCTCCTGCAGGAGACTCAGCTTCTCCAGCTCCCACTGGTGGTCCAGGATGAGGCTGTCGCTGCGCGGCCTCCAGCCCGCCAGGTTCTCCTCGCCGCGGACGTAGGCCACGGACGTGTCCAGCACCCGCCGGCGCCGCCGCTGCATGCCTGCATGGGCCGCGGACATGGCGTACCCGGTGGGGGCTGCGCCCGCCCCCACGGTCCTCCAGCCCCCCAGGGTCTCCGGGTGAGGGGCTCCCCGCACGGCAGCGCAGCTGATGTCACCTGAGTGTGCCCCCGCCACCCTGGGGCAGAGGGCGCAGGGCAGACGCCTACCTGGGCTGCCAGCATCAGCCACGTGGCACAGGCTCAGCTCGTAAACGCCCGTCACACGGTTGCTGTGGAGGGGGCCATTGTCACCCGCGTGGCAACGGCCGGGCGCCCGTTCACCGGCACGTGCACTCTGGGCACGAGTCACATGGCCCGCACGCCAGGCAGTGGGGGCTGGGGGGTCAGGGTCCCCGACCCAGACCCCCGCTGGCCCCCTTTTTCTTGGGGCCTCTGACTCTGCCTAGGGCACCCCACTAACCCGCTCATGGAGGGGGGCCCGTGGTCCCAAGGTGACCTGCTGGATGACAGGGTCATGGGGTCGTGGCCATCCAGGACCCCCAGGCTTTCCTCCCGGTTGTGTCCCCCAGGGAGGCCGCCCACAACACAGGGTGTGCAAGCATCACTGAAGGTGACCAGCAGGGACCTGGCACCCTGGGTGTCCCCGCACCTGGGGCGGGGTCCCTCCACTGCCCAAGAATGCAGAACACTGGGTCTGGCGTCCAACCCCCTGGGTGCGGGGAGGCCTGGCTTTGGACACGTCCCTGGGGACGAGCCGTCCAGGGTCCCTCTGCCCCACCTCCCCCGGGGCCCAGCAGCAGGGCCCCGCGGCTGCTGCGGAGGAAGGTCACCTGGGGCCACCCACAGGGGCCCCACAGTGGACACACAGGCCTTCCTGCTGCAGCTGGCAGGCAGACCCCAGCTCTCTCCCGCCCCCCCAACACAACATCCGCATCCCCACAAGTGCGCAGAGGCCTCCTCCGGTGGTGCAAGCGAGACAGGCCGGAGAGCACTCCTGGCGGGCTCACCTCTCCGAGGCCCGCAGGCTCCCGCTGCCGAATAGGTTGCGGATGGAGCGCGAGGCAGGCAGCTTGGCGTCGCGGGAGTAGAAGACCATGCAGAAGTCCTTGGTGACCACGGCCGGCTGCGTGCAGTTCTCCATCTGTGGGGGCGGGGGGGTGGGCTCAGCCCAGCTCCCCAGCCCCGTCCTCTGCGGGGAGGCCCAAGAGCTGCAGACCCTCCCCCTCCCCCATCCCCAGGGCAGCCCCAGCCCAGGAGAGTCTCTGCCCCCACCTTGAACCAACTTCTGCTGGAGCTGCGGGGGGCCTGGGGCCAGGGGTCCCTGTAGGACACCCCAACATCCCAGACATGGGCCTCAGCCTTCTCACCATGAAACTGGGACGGCACACTCCCCAAAATGTTTGTGCGGATCTGACCAGACCCTGTCTGTGCACCACGGGTCAACCCTAAAGGCCACAAGAGATCGCTGCCCAACGAGCGAGCTGCTGACTTAAACAGCAGGTTCTTTGGTTTTCCTGAAGCTCCAGGCTGACAACTGACAAAGCGGATGTATCCTGGGGTCTTGCTTGGGCGATACCCTACCAGTGTTTGCTCAGCCTGAGCAAACCTCATCCCGTGGGGCGGTCGCACTGGTCCCCATGTTACAGACACAATAATTAGACTCTGGGGGTAGGGAGCGAGGGAGGGTGGGCACTTCAGTCTCCACCACCCCGCTGGCTGTTGCACGGGCAAGAAATGCCCACACCCCTGGCCTCCTCCTGGGCTTCCAAGGAAGTCACAGCCAGAAACCCTTGGGATGGGGAAAAGGAGGCTTCTGTTCTCGTGCTGTCTGGAACTTAGATGCAATGTCTGCTGGCGCTACAACCCCAAGGACAAACCCACACACTAAAGATAGAAGAACTGACTAATTCTGAGCACTCCCATTAAAAGAACACAGATTTAACTCAAGGACTCAAGAAGCCCTCTGAGAAGACAACAGGGTTGACCGTGGTTGTGTGGGGCTAACAAGCATCCTTATTGTCCTTCGGCCAGCAATTCAGGCTGGGGAGATGGGTGATTTGGGGGGAGGCTCTGGGCACAGGTTTCTTGCCTCGATATAAGCAGAGAGGGTCATGTAGATCTTCTCTCGGTAAGGGGTGACCCGGTTCAGCAGGAGGGAATTATGCATAGAGCTGTCCCACGCAGCCTCAAACTGGTAAAAGGTTCTAGAAGGAAGCAGAGACGAGGTAGAAAATTGACGGAGCGTGGTGTGCTCTCGGCGGGGACGGGGACATGCAGACAGACACACAAAGACAGACGGACGTGTGGGCAACCTGCCGGGCGAGCCGCTGGGGCCGGAGTCCAGGGAGGACAGACCCCTCCTTACTCAGGACCGGGCTGGGTTGGGGGCTCCGGACGCCCCACCAGGAGGAGCCCTGGAGCGCCCTCAGCTCCACCCTGGGGGATGGGAGGTTTCAGCCCGGGACTCTGGAGCCGAGGTGGGGATGGGAGGGTGGAGGGGAGAGGGGCTGTGACCACCGGTGGGAGAGGAGAGGCGAGGGACCCCCTGAGCCTGAGTAAGGAGGCACACGGTCTCTCCCTGGACCCGAAGGGAGCCTGCGGGTCTGTAGAGCTCTCCGCGGCATCTCATCCCCAACTGACGGCCCTGGGAAATGATGCTGGGGGTGGAAACCGGGGCAGCCCCCCAAAGATAGCACAGCCCCCGTGGCCACGGCTGGGCCCCACAGAGCACAGAGCAGGCGCGGGTGCTTCTTTCTGTCCCCAGTCTCTAAGTCAGGAAGCCATGACCGGGGCATGAGCGCTGTGGCCAGGAACCCATGCTGCGGGCAGCTCGGGGCAGGCTCAGGGGCCAGACGAGTGGTGGCCGCCACTCCTGGCCGGCTTTCCTGTTACTCGACAGTTTCTGCTCTCAATCGTTCTAACCCCTGCCTCAGTCCCGGCGTGACTCGAGGACCGTCCCTCATGAGCTGGGAATTTGCCTCAAACCCTAGCGTGGCTGCTCTGCGAGCCCTGGCAGCCCCAGCTTCTCCGGTTTCCACCCAGCATCCCCACGAAGACGCGGCAGAGAACACGTCAGCGCAAGCGGGGCGCCGCACACGCGCCCGCACGGCCAGACCCGCCCAGGGGAGTGGAGGGCAGGGCGGCGAAGGCGCCACCCCGTCTCCGCAGCGTCCGGGCCACGGGAGAAGCAGCGAGACAGGGCAGGGCCAGCGCCGGGCACGTCACGGAGGCAGACCCACGGGGAGGAAGGGAGGACAGCGGGGGACCGGAGGGCGGGCGGGGGGAGCGGGGCGGACATCAGAGGGGAGAGGAGACTGGAAACTGGAGAGGGCGGGCCAGCGGGCGCGGAAGAGAAAAGTGAGCTGTACCTAGTGTCACTTCCAAACGAAACGCTAAAGGCGGAGGCAGCCAGGACACACGTACACACACAGAAGAGACCACATGTCAGAACGAGCACCGCCACCCGGCCGGGCACAAGCTGACACGGAGCAGGCGGGCGCCGCACCACGCTGCCCACGGGCTGCCGACGGCCGCCCGGGGCCCAGACACACCCCGGGGGCCCGCTCTGAGCACAGGAGGGTGGGGGCCCGCTCTGAGCCCCGGGGGGCGGGGGCCCACTGAGTCCACGAGGGTGGGGGCCCACTCTGAGCCCCCAGCCTGGGTACTGCAGACACCCCATTCCCTGCGTCCTTGGGTCCGTCCCCAGCAGGACCAGCTGGGCATGCCTGGAGCTGCCACCCAGAACCAGAGGGATGCCCTCTGTCCCGGGGGCCCCCAGATGCCCCAGCTCTGAGGGGCCGGGCCCATGGACAGAGCCAGAGGCCCACTGCAGCCCAGCTCAGAGCAAGATACCACTTCACAGCACATGAGCTCGGGCTGTCAGCAGACACGCCACGCCCTGCCTCCTGGTCAGATGGTGGCGGTCACTGTCCTGCCTCACTGAGCCGTCCTGCCGGCTACGAGAGCCGGTGTGGAGCGGAGGACAGCGCCTGGGCGGTGTGGGTCAGGACTAGCCCTCACCCCAGATGCCCCCAGTGGCCAGCACCTGGCTCAGTGCTGCCCCGTCCGCCTGCCTCAAATTTCACTGAAGGACACCGCTAGGTTCCTTCCCTGGCAAGTGCTAGGGTGCGAGGACCCAGCCCACCCCAGAAAGGCCGGAGAGCGGCCTCAGCCCATGTGGGACCCCAGCAGTCACGCGGGGGCCCCTGAGCTTGCTGGGCAGGGGGTGGGGGGCACTGACTCGTGCCCCCTTGATGACATGGCAGGAAACTCGAACCCAGTGGGCTCAGAGGGAGCCACGGTGTACCCAGGCAGCAACTGGGAGGTGGGGGGCCCCCAGGACCCCACACCCGAGTAGGCATCGGGTCACTCGGGAACTGCACCCCCACCCCCCGCAGCGCTGCTCCCTCTGAGCGACACTCAGCCAGACCCCGGTGCCACTTTTAAGGGGGACAGGTGGCCCAGACATGGGGACTCTGGAGCCACAGGGTCCGCTTCACTGAGAAGAGGTCAGGAACGCAGATTCCAGGGCCCTCGCACACAGAGAAACACAGATGAGGCGTGGGGCCACCTCGAGGGCAGAGAATCAGCACTTCACAGTCAGTTTGGCCCCATCATCTTGCGGACCCTCTGCACCCAGGCATCCTGGGGAAACGGGCCACAGTAGGCCAGCCCAGCCGCTGCCCCAGCGAGGCCGTGGGGCCTAGTCAGCCCTGCCAGCCACGCGCCGTGCTCCGGACCCCGCTTGAAAAGGGGCAGGCGCCCAGGCTGCACCCACAGCAGAGCCCCCAGGCTCCGGCAGGGCCCCTGGCCGTGCGGAAACTCATCTGCACAGTCCTGCAGCCCTCACACTCCTCTGTCCACATCCAGGATGCTCAGCTGACTTCCTGACCCGACATGAGCCCTCCAGGCGGTGAGGGGCCCTGCCGAGTGGCCTAAGGGGTCGGGCAGCAGGGGCCTGGAGACAGGACCACCAAGGTTCAATTCCGGGACAAACAGTGTGAGGCTCAGACAAGCAAGGATCCACATGGGGAAGACTGGGAACTCGGGACTTCCCGGCGGCCTGCTGGTTAAGGCTCCGAGCTTCCACTGGTTTGACCCTAGTCAGGAACCTAAGACTCCACATGCTATGTTGTAAGGCCAAAAAATAAAAATGATTAAAAAGTTAGGAAAAAAACAAAAAACTTTGTTGACAAAGAAAATGTCATGTGTTGCAAAACATCCTTCCCGTTTCATTTCTTGTTCAAACAGTGTGACCTTGTGGCCAGGCAGGGGTCCTGCCAGGCAGGGTTCCGTTCTCCCGGGTCTATGTCAGGGGAGCCAGCAGTAGTCCTGCCTCTGCACCCTCTCAGCATATTAAAAAGCAGAGACATCACTTTGCCAACAAAGGTCCATATAATCAAACTATGGTTTTTCCAGTAGTCATGTATGGATGTGAGAGTTGGAGTATAAAGAAAGCTGAGTGCCGAAGAATTGATGCTTTTGAACTGTGGTGTTGGAGAAGACTCTTGAGAGTCCCTTGGACTGCAAAGAGATCCAACCACTCCATCCTAAAGGAGATCAGTTCTGGGTGTTCATTGGAAGGACTGATGCTGAAGCTAAAGCTCCAATCCTTTGGCCACCTGATACAAAGAGCTGAATCATTTGAAAAGCCCCTGATGCTGGGAAAGATTGAGGGCAGGAGGAGAAGGGGACGACAGGATGAGATGGTTGGATGGCATCACCGAATCAATGGACATGAGTTGGAGTAAACTCCGGGAGCTGGTGATGGACAGGGAGGCCTGACGTGCCTTCCATGGGGTCACAGAGAGTCGGACAGAACTGAGCAACTGAACTGAACTGAACTGCACACTCTCGGGGCTGCAGGAGGCCCTGGGGCGCTTAGAGGCCCAGGGGCTGCCCGGGGGGAGGTAAGACTCTCAAGGCTCCCAGCACAAGCCCCTGGGCACTCTTCAAGTGTGACTGCCTCCCCTGCTGGGACAGGGCTCATCCAGACAGCTTCTGAGAAGCGTCGCAGCCGTGGGCGCCCACGGGCAGGCACAGTGGGCAGCCTGGTGCAAACGGGTCTGCTGAGAATCTGCAAATGAAGCCCCTCCCTTGAGGTGTCAACCAGAAATGCCTTAGACTCTGGGAAGTACGTTTCTTAACAATGTCACCTTTAGTAGAAGCGGCCTAGGAACTCAGGAAAGGTGATCTGAGCCCCCTGAATTGCAGCCAGCGCAGCCCTCCTATCCAGTGGGGACCAGGATCACAGGGTGCAGCCACACAGCTAAGAGCAGGAGAGCGGCCTTGAACCTCAGAGACTCAGCTCTGTGTCTGGATGGGACTTTCACACAGCCGAGCGGCGTCTCCTGCCACACAGAGCGAGCACTCTGACCAGAGGGATGGAGGGAGGGGAGGATCGAGGGGTGAGGGGACAAATGAACTCCCCACAAGCATCTGAGCTTCCTGGAGACAGACTCCTCCTGTTTAGTCTTTCATCCCCCTTTTGAACAACTGCAGTGGAAGGCTCACATGTGAGGGATGAATGAATGAATCAGTGGGGTCGTGTCCCGTGTGACGGGTGATGAGTGGGTGAGTGGGGGTCGTGTCCCGTGTGACGGGTGATGAGTGAGTGTGGGTCAGATCCCATGTGACGGGGGAATGAGTGAGTGAGTGGGGGTCGTGTCCCGTGTAACGGGGGAATGAGTGAGTGAGTGGGGGTCAGATCCCATGTGACAGGTGATGAGTGAGTGAGTGGGGGTCAGATCCCGTGTGACGGGGGAATGAGTGAGTGGGGGTCGTGTCCCGTGTGACGGGTGATGAGTGAGTGAGTAGGGGTCAGATACCGTGTAACGGGGGAATGAGTGAGTGGGGGTCGTGTCCCGTGTGATGAGTGATGAGTGAGTGAGTGGGGGTCAGATCCCATGTGATGGGGGAATGAGTGAGTGAGTGGGGGTCAGACCCTGTGTGACGGGTGATGAGTGAGTGAGTGGGGGTCAGATCCCATGTGACGGGGGAATGAGTGAGTGAGTGGGGGTCAGACCCTGTGTGACGGGTGATGAGTGAGTGAGTGGGGGTCATGTCCCGTGTGACGGGTGATGAGTGAGTGAGTGGGGGTCATGTCCCGTGTGACGGGGGAATGAGTAAGTGGGGGTCAGATCCCATGTGACGGGTGATGAGTGAGTGAGTGGGGGTCAGATCCCATGTGACGGGTGATGAGTGA